TGTAAGGTTAGTAGATTATATGACAACTAAGATAATCGTCTCTCAGCGATATTGGCTTTTCTTGTTCGTAAGGTTTAATTTATAACCCTACACATGGCAAAAACTTAAGCAAGATGACAAATAAAGAACCTGCTTACCCAACTATCAAGCAGCGGGGTTTAATTTTGGGGCTTAAATTAACTATTATTAACAATTCTGAGTCAGAAATAAATCCATATGCACAAAAGAAATACAAGCATACTCAGGTATCTACGAAAACCTAGATTTATGTACCACAATTTTTTATAGAGGGAATCCAAGCATGCAAAACTAGCTCCTGCATATTTGCTCCTCTTCTTTATACCTAAATGCTTTACAAAATATTGCCTAGAAGAATATGAAGACTACCAGTAGCATAAAGGTTAAATTGCATGGCTGTAAGAGAGGCGAAGGAAACTGGGTCTCTTAAAGATCTTCTGTTGTTCTGGCGGGCAAGTCATTAGATCTGACCAATGATGAGAAAATCAAAGATTTCGACGGTGACAATCCGATGTGAGGATCAGCCGAGGAGGCGGAATGAATGTTTGGGGAAGATGGAGAAATAAGTGAAAATAGAGCAGAATTTGAAGGCGGCTGCTCTACATAAGCGTCTGATTTGAAGGAAGAAATATTGTGGTTGATTAAATCGCTCTGAATCGAAGTAGAACTATTCCTCAAGTGTGGTCCATTGTCTAAAGCATCTTTATCTGCTGATAAAGGTGGCTCAGCCTGGTCAGCCTCCGATGCAGTATTTATGTTAATGTCTAATGAGTTCGGTTGAAGAGCATAACAATTAAGAAATTCAGGACAACTTTCCATTGGAAAGCTGGTAAGCCCAGGGACAAAATGTGACTCAAGATAAGAGAGATCATTGCTATCTACAGGACTCGTCTCCACATTAGTTTGCTGACAGCATACTGATTGGTACTGCCCGAGCGTTCGGAATCGATTGAATGGAGCCATAATATATGGCCCATCAATCGGTCGATCAAGTTGCCATTGATGTTGCCATGGTTCAAATGTTCCAGTAACAAAATTGTTCTCCAGCAAACTTGACTTGCAACCAACAATCTGCTCGGCTTCATCCTCTTCAATATGCTCACTTTCTTCTTCCTTTGCTTTATCTTTTGTCCCATCTAGCATATGTCTATTTGGTGACATAAATTGACAGAGAGAGCATAATGGAGAGCAAAAAACTACCATCGGCCTCTCTGCAAGCCCTCCATCGTCATTTAACGTTGACTTCGTTAAAGCATGAAAAGCGGAGACCTGTAGGGGTGGTTTGTAAACTTGATAATTTATGGGAGTATCACTTTTCTCATAATCTCTATTTTCTCTGAAAATGGTATGTGATGTCGTTTTAGATAGCCAATCTGTCGAATGCGATTCATCTGAGTCACCGATGCAAACGGTTCTT